GCAAACGCAGCAGTACATCGCAGTAGGTCCATTTGTGACCATGAGTTGGTTTCCAGCTTGTCATTAATTCAGATTAAGCACCTAAATGTTCATCCTAAAACAAGCAGGGTTAACAGGGTGAACAAAGCACTAAACAGATGCCATGATCCCTGTAGTATCATGCAAGTCTCCAAAATCTCCTCACTGCAAGGCAAGAGGCTCATCACAGGATTGGTTGACACAAACTGAAGGAAAGGGTTTTTTTGGATTTGAAAGTTTAGCATGGTTTCTCCTTTTTACAATGAAAGAATTTAAAATAATTAAGTGTCACAAAGATACTTAGTTACTGTTTAGCTGGATACTACTGATTACTGTTTAGGTAGCTGAGAGAAATAATGAGCCAGGGACTGACTGTGAGGAGCTGATGCCACATTCACAGGAGAGGGGGAGGAGGCAAGTGGAGCACTATCGCATCTTGTGCATGTGATGGGGGTGTAGATTCGTCACCGCTACACCAGAAACAGCCCACAAGGAAGACCTCTGTTGTTGCTACTTCCAAGATATCACTCAATACTCTGGAAGTGTATGGATAATGTACATAAACTTGCCCATATTTAAGCTCGTATTGAACAGCAGACACACACACACATATATAAGCATGTACGCATCCATTAGCAGGTATTACAGTTCACTGAATTGCTTCAGTTTTCAACTACTATTTCTAGGTCTGTTTTGTGTGCAAGTTAAAGGACAGTTTCAATAGATATATGAAATATGCAAACAGTTTTCTCATTCTGAAAATTATTCTTAACTTCTAACATTATTTGAAGTTGAAAACAATAAGAGAATGGAGTTGAAGCCAGTGGTATTGACTGTACATACTCTGCGTGTGCTGCTGAAAACTGATTTAATTTGCCTGAGAAATGATCCTCCCCAAATTTTCTATCTTCAGTTTTAGTAGCCATAGTACTAGCCTTAGTACTTTGAATACAAAGGAAAGGACACCAAATCCATTCCTAAATTGCTACTATGGGTCTTTACAGAATTTTTCTAAGGTACTGCATGAGGTTCTTTTCCTAGAAGCCCCACAACTTTAGCAAGAACCTTTTAAAATGCTTATCAAGATATATTACATAATAATAAAAAAAAAAAAGTAGTTCAGCAGAGCCAGTGACATCACCCATTATCCACTTTGCAGTTGATTCTGCTACCTTATTTATACACATTGATGTTTTTTCATGACAGATATAGGATATTGGACTGTCTGTAATCTGAAGTTTGCCATATTAGTTACCTTGCAAGATGTTCATTGAATAGAAGAGGATGGAGGAAATTAGGAAACATATTTGTACCTAACCCTGAGATAAAAGGTAACTTAATTATCTGTCTCCTTAACACCAATCTCTGGCCCAGCTGGCAGCTTATTTATTTTTTATTTTAAATGTTTATAGTGCAATTGTGCTCAGTAGTTATCTTATTAAAAATTATAGAAGCCTATTTTTTTTCTGTCTTTCTGGAAAGGAGTTATTTTAACAGAGTATCTTTCAGGAATATTTTCTGCTTGGTCTGTACTCCTGTCTAATCTGTATGTGCAGAGAGTGTCACATGAAAAATGCATACATGTATCAGGTATAAAAACTAATACTACCTGTGCCTCAGCTTGGGCTGACAAGAAGTTTTGTACATTGCAAGTAATAGCTGAATCTTCCATGCCCCTTTGTCTTTGCTGGCAAAATCTAACTTCAGATGAGTCAGAAGCCAAACTCTGCCAGGTTTAACAAATGTCCACAGAGGATGAACAGATAGAATTATTTATTTCTATTAAGAATACCAGAGAGTATATTTTACAGGAAGTAATTTCATTACCTGTTGAAGTGCTAGGGTTCAGCATTTCAAGACACAAAATTCAATGATGCATTAATTTGATCCACCTCATTAGCATCCAGGCACATTTAGTGAAAAATGCCAGAATTGTTACAGTTGGTTCCAGTAATCAAAGTAATAGGCCCTGAGAGCTTTAACTCTATAATTAACGGATAATATATCTATATCATGTATAATATATATAAGAAAATATATATTGTGTATAACGTATAACATAATGTATCATATAATATATGATTAATGTACAAGAAGAGGCAATATTCAAAATCATATTGCCATGAAGAACAAGTTTCAGTAAAATTACAGATTTCAAGTTTGATCACCGTATTTAGAACAGAGAACCACGATTTTACATAATAGGATACATACTTGAAGAAAACTAGGAGAAAAAGATCAAATGTGCCTCATCTGTCTTGCTTCTGCAAATGAATATGCAAATAGCAGGCAGAGAAACTGAAGCAACTGTTACAAGCAAACATCCTTTTCTACTAACAGTTAAGGTCTCCTTTTAGATATTTTGCTATTTATTTCCACTATTTTACCTACTTTTTAGACTGGATCAAGCTCCTTGAAAAAAAAGTGTCGAGAGAATTTTTATCATTTCTTGGTAATTTCCATGTCACAGATTTATGTATTGATTTTTGGCAGTAGTCCCCACTTACTGACTCACAAAAGATATCCTTATGTCTCACATAGCAAGTACATATACAAGGAATACAAAACCACTCATATGTGAAGTGGAAACCTAGTCTATCATATATATCCACTACCAAAAAAAGGAAGAACAGCAAAGTGTATGGTTCTTGCCAAACACATTCATATATTTGTGTTCAACAAAACCTGAACAGAAGTCTATAGACAGGGATTTCTGACAAACTACCTCTTCTTTAAAAGTGTTTTGCAGATTGTATTACATGCTTCCTAGCACTGATGGTCCTGACATATAAAAAATCTTAACTCCATTTGAACAAACTTTGTATCATTTAGCTGTCTACTGGGGTCAAATGGAAACAAAGATTAACATTCCCTCATCCAAACACAGACCCAGGCAAACTGCGATGTCTTCTCTTACGTACCTGGGGCACAATATGTATAAAGTCTGGCATCAGCTTACAGTCACAAGTGAAATGACTAACACTGAAATATAAGCATCTTAAATGGATTTTATGGAAATAGAATGATACAAAATAATTCTGGTTTCAATGTTATTAAAACCAAGAAAGTTGAGGTGTCCATAAAAATGATCATTATTGATCTAAAAGAACTACAATTACTAATTATGAGTTTGGCATTTTCTCACTTAAAGCAATTTTTAATTTTCCATATACTATGCCCATTTTCTACATGAAATTGATCCTTACTACTCTGGATCTAATACTAAACATTATGAGATCACATTAGACATTTCAGTGCCTGTGTCTCTAGGACATATGGTACCGAGTGAGAAAAATAACAGAAGCATTTTACTTAGCTATTAAACAATTATACTCATGTTCTCTTACAGCTAAAAGGAGGTTTGTAATTTCTGTTACTAAACTTAAAATATTACTGTTTATTTTTAATATCTCAGAGCCTCAACATGACAAAAATTCTAATTAGAGTAATCTTTCCTGTAACCTGATTGTCTATCGTTTTCCAACTCAAGATTTGAATTTGAAGAACATACACTATGCTGGGTCTATGTAACCTGTAACAATTTTCTACCTTAGTAGCCATGCTGCATCTTTCGAAAACTAGCAATGATTAATTTTGCCACGAGCTAGTAACTGAAAGAGTGAAATTCTCATTTGTGAGGAATGGTATAGTAAATCACAGATTAGCAGTCACGCACTCTCAGTGAAAGTATATCCTCTTGCTTACACCTAACAAAGCTTATGTTCAATATGGCTCTTTACTATACAAATCTTGTGTTAACTTCAGAAAGAAAATGTTTTAAAACCAGAAAACTACTTATGTTAACAAAGATTTCACTCAGCAGAATCAGACAGTAAAACACAATTCATCTTCCTACAAACTTTTAACAATTGTGACAACTTCACACAGCTGTCCACAAATGTTATTTAATAAAAATTTTGTCTGCTTAAAAGAATACACTAATCTAGATTTTTCAGACCAAAGTAATGAAAAGTACAATTCACACTTCCTGTCCTTCCCTATAAAGCAGAGGTCTTTAGTCTAAATTGACCATTCAGGGTTTTTTTCATGATCTGTGGTGAAAGAGTGGCACCTCCATAAAATAATTTATCCTGTCCTCACACAAACATCCGAGACAGATGGGAGGAATTGTTCTCTGGAAGTCCCTCTCTGTCTCAGTCTCCCTCTAAAATCTATACAGCGACACTAGATAACTTTGGCTAATACCTAACTTTCTGATAGCTAAAGTCAAAAAAGATGAATCCATCTTCTCGTGCCCTTGGTCAGAAATCCTAGTTTGTGGTAAGTTGTTTGGTGTTGGGTTTTTTTGTTTTGTTTTTTTTGGTGCGGGTTTTTTTGGGGTTTTTGTTTGTTTGTTTGTTTTTTTAATGCAGACTGACTATTTTGAAGTTTCAGCATCTCATAGGCATCTGGTTAAAATTCTTACTGCATTACACCTGCCATGCTGTAAGAGACACGTTAGTTAGTCTGCTCCATCTAGAAAGCTGATAGAGAGTCCAGACTTTCAGTTGCACCTGTAACAGCATTACATCTCTGATGTGAAATGAGGAAGGTTGCTATCAAGTTACTAGGCAATCAATACAAGTGTGGGCAAGACTTACTGCAGAATAGATAAGGGTAAAGGGAGAATCATTATAGCGTAATTTCTGATGATTAAATAATGCCTTAACCTGGAAGAGAGCCACATTTTTTTCCTCCATAAGAAACCAACAGAAATATTTGAATTGTTCCTGTTCAGATAAAGGTATCTAAACATAGCCAATACTAGTTCTGCATATTTCCATTTCCTGAGTAGAGATAACTATTTGCATACAATAAATATTCAGATTTTTATATACATCTAAGTGACTCAATTCTTTATGGATCCCACTTATAGATTGTAAAAAGTAAAGAATATGGAAATAAAAGTGAGAGTTTGTTTAAAATTTATATGCTTTAGGAATACATTAAAAAAAAAAAAGATTATAGCTAATATTCCATACCTGAGTAGTGGTTGCTTTGGATAAGAAGGTTGGTCAGTGTTTTGGCATGGCTGAGGTTTTTTTGTGACTTGCTTATAAATATTCCTGGCAGTTACTCCAATCCATAGCATAGTAGAGAGTGTAGAATAATGTAGTACTATGCCAACCTAAAAAGAGTGGACAGTTAAACATCAGTAAATGGATCCATAAAAGAAGAGTTTTAGAAAAATCTTACTGCATAAGTGTACAAACAAACAGATTTTTTTAAACTGAATTTATAAGTGCATCATTTTTTTTCCTTTCTCTCTGGTTATTACTAACCAGGGAAAACACTTTTAAAAAGGAGATGGACTCTGTTATTTAATCTATTAGAGATAATATCTGTGATACCAGATGGTATGTTATGAAACCAAGACTGTAAAGACATTTGTTTTCTAAGAACCTGATTAATGACAATTTTTTACACCTGAATTTAAAGTGACACAAAGCTTAGTTCATGTTGTAAGCTTTGTTAGTTTATCATGACAATCCAATTTAAAAATTAATGAGAGGTCAGCATTTTTGCCTGCTATTACAATATTATTTCCTTTCATTTTTCAGGAATAACCTGCTGTAGTTCCCTCTCAGCTGCACATAGTTAAGGTTGACTTCTTGTAATGGGATCAGTGCTATTTGCCTAAACCCACACATATTTTAAGGAGTTTATAAACTTGGACATACAATTTTTGAAAATAAATTAAGATCTTGTCATCCTCCTGTAAAAGGAAATACCAACTGTCATTAGTGTTATTAACATTTTGTCTCAAAGAAACTTGTATGTTTATCACTGAAAGTAAAATAAAGTACAAACACCTCTAAAATACTAACATCTTTGTTATGTCAGTAATTGTTATTCATTACTATGGAAACAGTAATTGGAATTTTATCCAATCCCCAATGCTTTATTGCATCAGCTAAGTCTCCATCTGATTATATAAAATAAGGTTAACTTTGAAGCAATAACCTGACATTTTGCAGTGACAAGTAAAATATTGCTATAATTGGAAAGCACATAAAAGTTTAAGGAATACAGAGAATTGCTGAATAAAGCTAACACAAATCCATTATAGTGATTTATTTGAACCAGTGTTCATTTTTGCTTGACTTAAAATAATTGATGGGTAAAGAAAAAAATTAAATTATTTTTGTTTATATTTAGTAATATAGCACAAAACTTGAAGATAGCAGCAAATATCATTAACAGAAAACCCTTTGTAATTTTCTCTGGGACTTGTCTCACACATTATACAAGGGAGTATAAAGCCTTCATAGCTGTTGTTGCTTGAGGTAAAAGAAGCGGAAATAAAAGAATGAGACAACTATGTACCATCAGCTGGCAGACGTTGTCAGTTCACTGGCTAGTGCTGTCTGGACTTAGTTCATATGCAGCTTGCAGCATTTCTGTAGGGACGCAGTGAATATGACTATGAGCTGAGGGACAAGTGAAGGAGCAAGACAGGAGGGAAAAGAAGGGGAGGAGAAAGGGGGAGAAAAAATGGAGGTGGGAACCATGAGAAAGAACTGGAAAAATTCTAGTGATTTGGTTCATAACCTTTTTGTCATTTCAGCATAGCACTGCTAATATATATTCTGTAATTATTCTACATAAGTATGCCAAAGAGTCCATAAGAATATGAACAGCAGGGATGAATTCCATATGAGAAGGCACCTATATGTGAAATTTTCAAAAACATATATGGCCACATGTACAGAAATGATCAGACACTTAACTGAATGAGATTCTTTATAAAAGTACAATAAAACAATGTTATTGAACTTTCAAGGAGGAAACTGAACTGAAAACATCATTGCCATGCCACACCTTAGTCACATTACTTTTCTTCAGTGTGCTCATTTCAGCGACTTAGTTCCTTCTGATAAATCAAACAAATACGGACAAGAGACAGAAATGTTATAATCTTTTGTACTAACTCTTTCATACTATGCCTCTTTCTGTTGCCCAAAGAAACCCCCAACATTTGTATTTCTTGCTTAAAGGAAAAGAGGATATATCCTAAGGATACAGGACCTCCTCACAACTGACAGATTTAAAGGACAGTGGTGACAATCTGGAGATAAAACATATGACACAACAATGTTGAATTTGGAAAGATGTGCTGAGCTGTTATACTAAATTCCAGAAGAAAGGATACCCTTTTCTCTGTGGGGTGATGATTTTGTTTCTCAAGTCTTACCATAAAATATGCTTTCTGGAGTAGAATTTTTGTTCTTATTCATACACTAGTAATAATTAGTGAAGAAATGATTGTCACATCTCATCTTGAAACTTCAGTGTTTCAAATTGGTGGGCTTCGCTCTCTGCCTCTTCCTTTTCCACATCTCCACAGTGACATCAGTCATGCCACGGAGATGCATTTTCCTCACTGTTGCACTTAGGGGCTGTGGCTGCATGCTCTTTTGTCCCCTTCAGTGGGACCACCTCTTTCTAGCTTTCTTAAGCTAGGAAGACATCTGAGCCCTATGCTAGAAATACATGAGATACCAGCTCATGACATGGAAGGGGAAGACAAGGCTCAACAGAAAGGGGAACAGGTCAAAGACAGTTTCGTCTTCTAGACTCCCTTAACTCTTCTCACAAATGTAAACTTTAGGTTTATGCAATAAAGGTCCAGGGTACAAATATATCTGTATACATCTTGTTACTGGATTTGTGTCTCTGTAAAGCTTAAGAGGTCAATAAACAGATACAAATTAAATAACCAGGTTTTTGTTTAAAACTATTTTCATTATAAGTAGAACTTCTGTATTTCATGTAAAATTGTGTGGGAAGGGTCAAGTTTTCCACACAGAACAAAGGATTATGACTGAATATATTAAAATGATGACCCTTACTTGTAAGGTTGTCCACTGACAGGCCAAATGGCACAGAAAGAGCTGTCAGGACATACTCATTGAAGACAGCATTGGACCTAAAGTTAGTCAATAACTGCAGTTATATGGTGAAAATTCTGTTGTTTCCTTGGACTCATTTTTCTCATGTCCTGTGTTCTTAGAACTCTTATCTTTGGGAATAAGCACCAGCCTACTGAATAGAAGATTACACTTTCTTATGATAAGAAGATGCTGCCTGTACATGCTCCTTCAATATATTTCAATACCTTAGGTGTAACTTAAGTTCCACACCATGCAGTTACCATGGTAATGACCAGAATACACATTTATGCAAAGCATTTTGGCACAAAAAGCTTTCTTGATCAGCTTTAGCTTGCAAACAAATGTCTTCGTTTTCCCCTAGTTTTAATTTAATTTTTTTTTTCAATTGTAATCATATTTCAGATAAGACTGTCCTTCTTCAGCCAGTTCTATTTAAAGGAGGATATGGATATGCACTGAAGTTCTGGTTAAACTATTAATCCTGCATTGAAAGTTATTCTTTTCACTGGAATGAAGGGATTCAGGAACTTCTTTGCAGTCTATAACATCACTGGATGTGATTATTTAATGATCTTAAGACATTTAGCCTTAGAACAACCCCCTGCTCCCTTTACAGGTAGAAAAGAGCAAAAAGTTGAGACCCACAAATCAGATACCCGAGACGAGGAAGGACAATCTTCAGCACGCACATTTAACTCCACAGTGTGAAAACTTTAGCTGTCTTATGTGCCTGCTAGTAAAGTTTCCAGCCACCTATGACTAGCTCTGTTTCTTATCTCAGCAGAGCTGAACAGTGCAGCTCCTTTCTCACCAGACCAGTCAAGCATTCTTTGCTTAAGGTATTCTGACAAACTTGATCATTGTACATTAGTTTTACACCCATTCTTTCAAAAAAGTTATAGCTAGAGCAGAAAGAACTGCTCTTTTTCTCCTCTTTCCATAATATTTTTTGATTCTACAGCTCCTACCCGAAACGTGGCACATAGCTCTAGGATGTCCTTAGTTTAACAGGACTCAAATCCAAATTTCAGACTTCCAAGGGTAGCATGCTGATTTCTAGGCTACTGGTTAGTATGGAATGGGCTTCGCCTTTCTTACTGAAGATTTACTGCCCTACAGAAAGGAATTCACAAGCAACTTCACATATAACACTTTCAGGGAGAAGAAAGATCAGAGGCTTGCCAAATTTTACATGGAAGCTTTTATTTGATACAGGAGGTTTTTGGAGATGTGATGTAAGTGATCAAGCCACTCAATGACTGGCCACTAGGATGAAAAGTTATGATTCTTCTGACTTTTCTGTCTTCTGAATCTTGTGCCCCTAGGCCTATTCTTCATGCTTTGACATGTTGAACTGATGATTTTATCCCCTAGCATCCATAGCCTCATGGCCATCATAGTCTTCTGGAAAGTAGGGGCCATAAGACTGAAATGTTTTGGATGGAGAGTACAGAATCAATGCCTCCCACACATGGAGAGTAATCCAGCTACAGTCGTGTCTCCTTCTGTCTCATTCTCTACATGAAAGGAATAAGCCTTCTTCTGTCCTATAAAGGAAAATAATCTGAGACTAACTCTGGGAGATGGAAGGGGCTGGTACATCACCTATTGGCTGGCTCAAGCAGCTTTCTGGCCAGTATACTGGCTCTGATTAATCCCATTTTGCTGTTCCTAACACAACTTTGCCTTGCATGAAAAATTTTGCCATAAACTCAAAACTGTATTCTACATCAACAGCCAGAATTCAGACACCCAAAATCAAATTTGTGGGTAATCTAAATAGTCTGTAGATATAACCTAATTCATACAGGAAATCTGTGAAGAAGCAATCAACTCTTCCAGACCAGCACTCTAACATCAGTTTTCTCTGTAAATCATAAAGACTGCATAGCACATATGCAAGTGAGACTATCTATACAAAATCCCCTCTGAAATAGGTATGCAGGTTTAAAAGGGAGTTTTAGATTTTCAGATTGTAGATAAAAATAAATAACTTACCATCTCTGAAAACAGAATTTTTTTTTTTTTTGTGTGTGTGTAACTACTTTGCCTTCAAGGGGATATGAAGGTTCTTCTAGCTATCTACCACAGAAAATGGGTCCATTTCCATAGAATTAACTCCTGCAGCTTAAAGTTAGCCTGGGACACCTCATTTAGAGAGAGAAGGTGATCCAAATGAAGTTATTTTAGAACCACCATTTTTTGGTTAATGATGAAGGATAAAAATTAACTCAGTCTATTATTCCACTTGGGTGAGGATGTTGCAGTGAAATTTGTGTGAAAGTTTTGAGGATAATTACAACAAGAAAGGTGGAGGTTCACTGGCTTTAACACTGCATTTCAGTGACTAGGACAAAAAATGCTTGCACTTAGAATCTTCCCCTGTGCACTGAGGAAACAAAAAGTGGAAATTGCATTGCTGCACAGTGAAGCTCTGTTTTGAATTGTAGCAGATGGAAAGATACCTGTGCTATAGCAACACTGATGGTGCTACACATGGAGTATAACTAATATTTTAGTGCTGCTTGAAGCAGTAATATTTTCACAAATATATTTTAGATCCTAATATCAGTTTTTTTCCACAACTGAAAAAAAAAAAGGGGGGGGGG